TTTTTTTTTTTTTTTTTTTTTGAGGCAGAGTCTCACTCTGTTGCCCAGGCTGAAGTGCAGTGGCATGACCTGGGCTCACTGCAATCTCCACCTCTCAGGTTCGAGTGATTATCTTGCCTCAGCCTCCCGAGTAGCTAGGATTATAGGCATGTGCTGACACACATGGCTAGTTTTTGTATTTTTAGTAGAGACGGGATTTCACCCTGTTGGCCAGGCTGGTCTCCAGCTCCTGACCTCAGGTGCTCCACCCTCCTCGGCCTCCCAAAGTGCTGGGATTACAGGGGCTAACATGCTTTTTTAAAATGAAGTATTTATTTATTTATTTATTTGAGACGGAGTTTCGCTCTTGTTGCCCGGGCTGGAGTGCAATGGCGCGATCTCGGCTCACCGCAACCAATTGCTGGGTTCAGGCAATTCTCCTGCCTCAGCCTCCTGAGTCGCTGGGATTACAGGCATGCGTCACCATGCCCAGCTGATTTTTTGTATTTTTAGTAGAGATGGGGTTTCACCATGTTGACCAGGATGGTCTCAATCTCTTGACCTCGTGATCCACCTGCCTCAGCCTCCCAAAGTGCTGGGATTACAGGCGTGAGCCACCGCACCCGGCCAAAATGAAGTATTTAAAACCTAAAAGCATAGTATGAGTCTGCCCAGGTTTAGTGAACCTTAGTATTCTTCTCTTCTCTCCTCCCTCCAAGAAGTAACATGTAATATTCCACAGAAGCCCTTCTTTGGGCTCTCCCAAATTCCCACTTCTCCTTCTGTTCTTCTTAAGTTAATCATGATCTTTAAAATTGAGAATTCTCACTGCACTTACGTATGTTTTTGTTTAACTTGTGGACAAAGACTTACGGATAGGTGCAAAAAATAAATCCTCTTTTGCAATCCAGAACTCATTGTTCAGTATGAGTTTTGATACATATAAAAAGGGATATTATGATACCTGAGACAGTTTATTGATGGGAGTATTGATAGCCATGAAGGTTTGAGAACATGATGTCTGGAGTTAAAGGTATTGGCATATTCCGCACATCTGTACTGTTCTTGAGTGTGATCACTTAGGAATAAGACTTGAACTCATTCATGCTAAGAGAGGGTGTCAAATTGAGAACCAGACCATCTACCACTACGGTATAAAGGACCCTAAAGTAAATTGACTGAAAAAATTAGATTCCCAAAGATTCCTAGTAAATTTTGAAGTCTTCATCAGTATATGCATTTTAAAAGGAGATGACAGAAGCAAAAATAAAAAATTATGAGCTGATAGGACATCTGGATTAAAATAAATATCAGTTTCATTAAAAAGGGCTAATTTGAAGAGAAATCTTTTCATTCCAGCTCTTTAGAGGATCTAAACTGACCTTGATGGACAGTGGAAGAAAACACAACATGGAATTCCTTGAATAAAAATTTATTGACTTAGACAAAAAATAAAATTGAGAATTCTCCTTTCTGATGGTGATGTTGTGCTTTACTACATAAATATTCTCCCAGGGTTTGTGTGTGTGTGTCTCTGTGTGTGTGTGTGTGAGTGATGTCCATGCACATAGTTTTATATATGCTGTTTCCTGAGCTAAGCCTACACAGCGGTAATACGGTATATGTTTTTGACTTTAGTCTGTCACTCAATTTAGGTTTTCAATAGATACCTATTTTGTCACAAGTAGATTTAATAATATCATCATGGTAGTTACACTGTGTGATTATAATATAGTTCATTAATAATATCATCATGGGCCGGGTACAGTCGCTCACACCTGGAATCCCAGCACTTTGGGAGGCCGAGGCAGGCGGATCACCTGAGGTCAGGAGTTTGAGACCAGCCTGGCCAACATGTTGAAACCCCATCTCTACTAAAAATACAAAAATTAGCCGGGTGTGGTGGCAGGTGCCTGTAATCCCAGCTACATGGGAGGCTGAGGCAGGAGAATCGCTTGACCCTGGGAGGTGAAGGTGACAGTGAGCTGAGATCACTGCTATTGCACTCCAGCGTGGGGGACAAGAGCGAGACTTTGTCTCAGAAAAATAAAAAATCATGGTAGTTACACTGTGTGATTATAATACAGTTCGTTTTTTA